TGTATGCATGTTTTTGCTTTGATTTATCTATATATTTTCCATTCATTTGATTCTCATTTTCCGCTGGCTTTGATATACTCGTCTACTCACAACTCACCATAAATGTTGCTATTTTGAGTTATTTGCTTCTGTGTGTTGGATTTACGCACAACTACATACATAGGTGGAACAGACACATACATACATATGAGAATACGAGTTAAAATTGTTGCTATGCATATGTTGTTAAATGATTAAACGTCTCTCTATAACTATTGGTAACTGGAAATTATGCTAATTATATAGTTTTACTTTTGTCTAAATTCAAAATTCAACTTTCATATATACTTTAACCTACATATGTATTATTTTATCAGTTATAAATATTTGTCTCTAGGTTAGCAAAAAAGTTTAAGTTTAAGTTTAAATATTGAAATACGTTAAGTTACTTGCAATTTCTTTTGGTTTTCCTTTTATTTTATAATGAAATAATTTCATTTAAGCATTTCAGTCATTGTTATCCTTTTGGGTTCCGTTCTGAGAGACAAGCCCTAAGAACTTCTTGAACTTGAATAGATGGTCGCTGGGTCTATCTAATGGCAAATACTCGTAGTAAGTAAATTCCTTAATTATTTCTTTGAATTTCACTTTGCACAGGCATTGGATTTGCTTAGTTTTGGGCGGTATTGCTAACCACAGAATCTGGCACGCAAAACAGGAAGCGGAACAGGACGAGTAACAGGAAGGGGAACAGGAATGGGTAAACAGCACCATCATCAAGCAGAGGACCCGTTGAGCTGTTGATCCGTTGAACCGAACCGGCAACACAACTTTTCCAATTAATCAACACGGTGAGGGAAGTGGGGGACGACGCATTTTAACAGCCAAGCCACCATCCTCATAAATATTCATGCTGTCAATGCGCATAAATACCTAAGTGCATATTTATGGGCCAGCATTTGTTGTTATGAGTTTTACATTTATGGCCTTTTTACTTTATTAATTAATAGGCGGACCGACGACGAGAGGCATTCTTATGATTCATTCGCCTGCAGACTAATGGCCACGTTAATTGCTTCGAGAGAGCATTCCACAAATACTTAGAGACCCTCCAAAAAGAACCCTCCGAAGCATCGAGCTCAATTGGAAATCCCCCACTAAAAGCGATTTTTCGATTGAGGGAAAATGGAAAATGCGGCTCTCTGTTTACAGTTTCCACGTGTTTATCATGTGTAGTTGGGTCGTTAAGCGATTGCTCTGATCGAATATTCACTTGAAGTACAATCCAATTGCTATTCAAGCGTATAAATCACTAATTATGACTGGCGGGCAATGGCGAAAAGTTACGCATAATTTAACATTTGTTTTGCATTCGCGCAAGCAAATTCCGACAACAACACAATCAAATATTTATCAACTGTTTCAATACTTTGAACTAGCCGATACAGCCAAAACCAACGCCACCACCACCACCGTCACCAACACCGCAACCAAATTTCAATTAAAAACCAAAACCCCACGCCATTCTCTCTCTAAACTTCTCAAAATCCCTGGGCAACCATGCTCCCCAGTTTGTGCTGCAATATACCAAGTTAATCAGGCATTAAATTGGCTTATTGCATATGGATGGTGCCCGGACTGGTGTTCAAATATATGTTGACAGAAATGAAAATGCAAATTCTAATTTACGCATTTGATGCCAAAATAAATTTCATTTTGCAGTCGGATTTGTGGCTTCTGGCGTTTAGGAATTTCGATTTTCACAAAAAAAAGTCCGAAAATAAAGTGAAAATATTTTTATATAATTATTGTAAGTATTTTACACTTCATTTCATTATTTACACGCATTTGGGAAGATCTTTTTATAAAAAAAAAAATAAAAACAATCGCCGAGTTTCAATTAAAGCAACAAACCAAATTATGAAGAGGAATAATTTGCATTCCAAATCGTATAATTCAATTATGGGCATTAATGCAAATGATTATGCATTATTCAAACCGTTTTTCACATTTTTTGTGTGACTTTGTTTTTTTTTGTCATTCCTTGAAATAATAAATTGTAAACGGTTGTGGAGCATTTAATTTATGGTGATTGCTAATTGTGACATTAATTGCAATTTTATGAATGTCCATTCAACTCTGGCCGCAAAAACCAACCGAAAAGTAGAGGCAAAGACAAAGGACATTGACAACGTTGCGTATTCGCCATGTGGCCTAAAACAGAAAATGCTCGGCACGATGTTATATACACCCTTGCAGAGGCTATAATAATTTAGGTAAGATTCTTGTAGCGCATAAATGTCTGACCTACTAATCTGGACATACCAGAGGCGAAGTAGGGAAATATAATAGGCAATACTTTAATATAAATTTATACAACTTTAGAAAACAATACCAAATCCGATTTCTTTATCAGAAAAGTATTTTGTTAGCTGAAAAAAACAAATATTTGTACAAAAAATCCATGAATTTGAATGTAATCCAATCGCCAAGTATTTTAGTCAAAATTTCATTGCAAGGGTATCTAGACTTCGGCCAAGTCACAGAGAGCTATCGTTCATTTTTACACTCTAAGTGAAAATGACTTTCCGTGCGACGAGCAAAACAATGCCGTCCGTGCAATGCTGCTCGACACTCATCTGGCTGTCGCACCTAAGTGCAGTTAAGTGCTGTGTATGTATAGGTGTGTGGGAGTGTAAGAGTGTGTTGCTCTGTAAGAGTGTGTTGAGCATGTGTGTGTCGCGCATTTTAATGTGCCTCCCCCAGTGGCAGGTCCTGCCTGGCTTGCCTTGCCGTCGATTTCAATTGTTTTCGATTTCGCCTTGTGCCCGACGCTCCCTTTTTTTCGTTTTTGTTTTTGTTCTACCATTTAGTTGGTTGTTGTAGCTGTTACTCGCATTGTTGGACTGGCTGTCGTTGTTCAAATTGTCATTTGAGTGCAGTTGTTGTACACACATTGCTGACAATGCCAAAAAGTACAGACAGAGAGGGCGGCAGGAAGAACGTGATCCATAAAAAAGCATGCACCCGGCCCCAGACCAAGAGCTTTCAATGTGTTTGTCTTTCAACACCATCAAAGTTCTTGCTTCGATTTCCATTTATTCAAATGAAACACATGCACATTCTCCAGCTGGCTGACAGATTTCGGTCGTAGCTATTATTTATGCCCTCTTAAACAATTTTAAAAGGTCTAAGGAAACCGCCAGCACTTAGCCTATGGCCGAGGCCGAGGCCGAGGCTATAAATTTGATCTATCAGGCATGCCGGCATGTGTTGAAAGGGCCAATAAGCTGTGAAGTGAGAAGAGATGCTAAAAGCGGCCATAAATTTGATGGTCACAGAACACGGTGATTACAGACTTGTAGCGGGGATTGACGATTGCCTGGGCGATCCCGCAAAGATTTAGTCGCACCTTGCCACAAAGTGTCCAAGAAATATGAGCGATAAAGACATCACAGAGAAAGTAAAATAAATTGTAGATAAAATTTATGCATGGAATATCTGTGGAGGATTTTGGCTCGTTTTGTAGATATTCCATTCCAGTTTTTGGCTTTGGCTTTGGCAGGGAAAACAAGCCAAACGAAGTGGAGAACCGTTTTGGGCCATATGCCAAAAACGGTGTCTGTCTGTCGGACTGACTGACTGACTGCCTCTTTCCCTGGTTCTGTCTCCGTGTCATTGTAGTGTTTCGTTTGACGATGGGTCTCCCTCTCCGTCTGTCCGTCCGCCCATCCGACTGGATGACGGGCTGTCTATTCCACTCGGACGGTCACATGCATTTTCTGATGCCTTGGCCAAGAGCTAAAGTAGGAAATGGATGGGAAAATGGTGAGTAGTGGGATTGCTACATTTGCATCTGTGTGTGCCCATTAGGCATTGGGGGCGGTTCCATATATTTCGTTTATTTTTCTCCAAGTGATATATCTTTGAGTGCATGACTAAAACTGCAGCTGCCTTGTGGAATCTATCTCCGCACCGATGTCGATGTCGGTGTCTCTGAACTCGTGTGTGTTCCAGTATCGGTGTGTGCGCTCACTTTGTTACAACAAATTATGTGCCGGCTGCGCAGGACTATACTCGTACTCGTACTCGTACTCGCACGAGTACTTTAAATTTATGTGCATATGGAATTATTGATCTGGCCGCCAGCCAAACTGCGGCATTAGAATTGCATTTCGACATGAATCACAGAGAGAGAGAGAGTGAGAGAGAGCCAGCGTGAGGAGCCAGAGGCCTTTGCCAAAATATTAAATAGAAATCAAATTAATTTGTTGCAACCATCATCATTATCATCATCATCATAGCAATCCCATTGACCTAACTTGTTGACCTCAGCCAGGATTGGCACCCAACACAATGGTGGTCTGCAGGCCATTGGATTTGGGTTACCTGCCTGTTAGCACGTTTGCAGATTGCGCCGCTGTCCATCACGGACTTGAAGCCTGCAAACCGACCTGGCTGGGACTTGTGCCATTCCCAATGCAGCCACAAATGGAAATTTGCGAAATTATTTCAAGTTGAATGGCCATAGACGCCGCAGTCGACATCCATTGAGGCCGCATAATAGATGTTTGCTTAGCTGAAATTCTTGTTTGCCCTGCTCATGCATTGCTATGAGCTCTTCGAGTGTGAAAAGTGTTTGGGTTCGAGTTCGGTATTCGGGTTGCGGGCTGCTTCTCTTGTGGGGAAGGACTGGGAGCTGGGTTCAAGGATACTCGAGAAACGAAACGAAACCAAAAATGCGTAAATTGAAATTGAGAGATTCCATCAAATTCACAGCCGTTCATTGCTTTTGAAATGAGCTACAATGTTCGTTACTTTTAAAAAAAAAAATATACCCACGCATCGGGAAATTGGGGTTAATGGATCGGGACTGAGATATTACCAAACCGAAGCAAATCTAACGCCTGTAATGCTGATACGAGCCATGTCCATAGCCCATGGGTGTGCTGCCCATGGCACGTTCGGTAGCCTTCTCGATGCTCGCATAAACGCACCTGTAACAGCACACGTAGGCCAAACATCACTTGAACAGGATGCGCCTGAAGGCGCGCCGGAAGTCCTTGTTGAAGATGGTGTAAATGGCCGGATTGAGGGCCGAGTTCATGTAGCCCAGCCAGAAAGCGATGGCGAACGCTGACTCGGGGATGTTGCAGTGGCTACTACAGGCCGGCACCAGGATGTACAAGAAGAAGAAGGGCAGCCAACAGGCAATGAAGCTGCCCATGATCAGGCCCAGGATGAGTGTGGCCCGCTTCTCCTTCTTGCGGGCGATCCGTCGCTTCTCCTTTTCGGGATCCCGCGGCTTCGGCGTCTTGGGAATGGCTGGCTCAAGCTCGGCCTTGACCACCTGCTGCTGCTGCTGGTTTTTGGCTACCGCCGCGGCAGAAGGGGTGGGACTTTTGGCTGACGCCGCGGCGGCAGCTGCCTTCGATTCGTTGCGCCGCTGCTGGTTCGATTTGCGTCCAAAGATCGGCTGGCAAAGGCGAAACTTGAGCGGCTTGACCACGGCACAGCGACTGACCACGCCCGAGTCCGAGCTGGAAGGATCGAATTCACTCACCATGTCCGTGTCAACGCCCACGGATAGCGCCCGACAGCGTCCGCCGATCGGCGACACTCTCAGCTCGTTGCTGGACGTCACTGTGGTCCCCAATGCGGCTCCACTGGCCCCGCCCACGCCGCCACCCGCGTTGTTGGCAGCCTCCACACTTCCATTGTTGTTGTTGAGGGCATTGATGGAGTTGTTGCTGCCCATGGACGGGGGCACGGGCACATTGAGGCCAACGCGGCCCGTGGCTATGGTGCTGACCTGAAGCGTCTCCTTCGGCGAGCTGGGGGAGCATAGCTGGCCAGCTGACACGGTGACCGCATTCGCATTCGCGCCACAATTGGGATTGGCCGAGTAGGCGAGCACTGTCTGTGCTGCAACAGCCTCCAGCTCCCCCGCCTCGGAGGTGGATATGTCCGAGGCCAGATCCATGGTTACCGTTGGTATTTGCATCGGTAGCGTGGCACTGTTCGGTGGTGTCTCAATGGTGGCTATCTGTCGCTGCTGGTGCAGCTGCAGCGCGGAGGCGGCGCTGGAGGATGGCATCGGTATTGTTCCTTTCTTGTTGGCGGTGGTGAAGCTCGTTACCTGAGGGTAGTTTCGGAACAAATAGAGGAAAACAATAATTAGGCTATCTGACACAAACACATATCATATCTCAAGGTAGTTCAATCCCAAGCTCGGCTTCTACCTTCTGGACCCCCCATTTGCCCCCGTTAAGGCATTGCAAATTGGGTTTCAGATTCACGTTCGCACTCGCATCTGCATGCGACGGAGACGGGGACAGATGCAGATACAGATACAGATGGCCAAACACTTGCAACAACAGTTTTCCATTTCGAAAATCCCGTTTAAGGCAACTGGCGGGACTGGCAGGAGAGACGGGTCAGTGCGTGCGGTTTACAAAAACACGGGTGGGATCTGTTGCTGGGGGCCTGTCAGGGCTGTGAGTGTCTGCTGCAATGGAGAGGGCTGGCTGTGCATATTCAATGCGCGAAAAGCAGCAACAATTACCAAGAGCAATTAACAGAGACACAGACAGCGTCCAAACTGAACACGAGAATAAAACTGGTACGAGTGCTAGAGTCGACTGTTGGCGACTAAGCTATACCCCATAATCGGAGTCTATTGGGCTTTATTGTCCCCCATCTTCTGTATAAGGAGGATACGAGGATATGAGGATCTGTATTCAAGGTCAAAGAACTGTCGGAAATACCCTCACATTATATAAGTACAGCGCATTACAATGCACAGAATAAAGCGTAATGTCAGCATACATATGTGTGTCCCTTTGTCCCTCCCTGTTTACACCGTCGCGCTCTGTGTGGTTCTCTCTCTCTCTCTCTCTCTCTGTGTCTGTCCATTTTCCGTTAATCGCTCGTTTGGGCCGCTGCTCCTGCATTTGTTTGCATGAAATGGCCGGCAAGTGTCGTTCATATAGCCAGTCCTGGCCAGTTCCTGTTTTCCGCACTTTTCTTTCCATGTGTTCTGTCTGTGTGTGTATCTGTGTGTGTTCCGTCCGTTCAGTTAATTGAAAATGCAAATTGTGTATGAATTGGATGGTGGACTGGCAATGGACTCGCACCATCGCTGGCATTGCAGGTAATTGACGCAGTCCACGTCGATCATTAGAGACTTTTCACTCCATCAGTGGATTAGGTGGCGTTCCGATAATTTTCAACAAAAGCTGCGCTAAAACACGACAAAGGAGAGGCTCACACCCAGGAACCAAGGCCAAGGGAAAGAGAGAGAGAGAGAGAGAGTCAGCAGAAGCCATTCAATAGAATGGCCCTGTTTGCTGCAGACGTGGCCAACAGCTGCAGCGGCCAAATTGCAGCGTTGGCACACAATCCGCAACCCAAACCAACCAAACCGAAATCCCCCACGTATCCTCCAAGTTGATGGAAAATTGAGGCTAAGCATATGTGTGTGTGTGCTCTCAATTCGGAGTTTCCTGGTAATGCACAATTACTTTAAGCAGGTGAAAGGTGGGCAAATATTGAGCATACGCCGCATATGCCATAGCGATTCGCCCGAGCGAAGGGAGAGCAATGGAAATTACATTTGCTCAGTGAAATGTAAAAATTTTCCATCCCCTGCATTTCGCATGAAGGACATTTTGTGGGCAAACGCATTAGTACCTCAGATATGGCATTCCCTCAAATGGGCTTGCATCAAAGTTCATTAGGAACCCACACCCAAGGACTGAGGGTCAGTCCGCACCGACTTCCATGAACATGGAGTGGAAACACAATAGCGGGGTACACACTCACCTGTTCGTTGTTTGTTTTGCGCGGATGCTTTTTGATGCCTCGCCGCGCCCGCGCCTTGGCGGCAAAGTAAATTCGTATGTACACAAAGACCATGATGCAGCTGGGGATATAGAAGGAGCCCAGGGCCGAGTACAGCACATAGCCGATGTCCTCGCTCAACTGGAATAGATATGGATAATGTTTAAGGAGATTATTAGTTGGCGAATTGAGCAGAATGATTTAATTCAAGTGTAATTTTCTCTGCCTTGGCTTATTCCCTTTGCTCCAGCTTATGGCACACATTACTCGTACTCGTGCTCGTACTCGTGCTCGTACTTGTGCTCTTTACAAAGTTAACTCAACTATCGGTGGCTAGATTAAATTTGATGCACAACCGCCGCCATCCTCTTTCTCTCTATCTCTGCTTGACTTTTTATCCTCTTACCTATTCAGAAGCTGAATATGCTTTGGGCCATTTTTTCGGGCTGATAGTGGGGGGGGGGGCCGTTGAGTGCATTAGGCTGATTTACTGGAAAATACATTTTCACTGCCGAAAAATGCCTTTGTCTGCTGCTGTCTTCTCCATCACTGAGCATTTACGTGAAAAATGCAAAAGAGCATGAAATTTCATAAGACTAAATGAAGTAAGAGTATTAGATTTCCAGCCACAAAAGAGCCTCCACCTGCCAACGCCCAAAATTTTTGCTGGGAAATATTAAGGAAGAATTATGTACCACATTTTGTGGCACTTGCATTTCGTTTATTTAAAGCTGGCGGAATTAAAACGCTTATAGTGGCCGCTGTTGCTGCTGGCTGTTGCTCTCACTTTACAAAAATTATGCAAATTAAGTGTTTTGGATGAAAGGCATAGAATAAAAAGAAAGAAAGGCTAAATTCGGGTGTGCCGAAGATTAAAATACCCTCGTAGTATGTAGAGTGATATATGTAGTGATGATCCCATTTTGATTAAATGATTCGACTCAAATCCTGTCTGTGGCAAGTCTATGCAAACTTTCAGTAAGATATGTTATAAACTGGCTCGTTGCTCGTAGCTATTAAATGACTATCAAAAAAGTATGTCTTCGATGGTCGGAAGTCTTTCATTTTCCTACAAAAATCTGCTCGGAATCATAGCACCCTCGGCAAGGGTACAGAAAGTGCACTTGAAGTGAATGGCAGCCAAGAGGCGGATCGGTAGAAGGAGCAGCAGCAGGAGCAGGAGCAGGAGCAGGGCATGGCCTTTTGAGTCCCGCTTTGTTGCAGTTGTTGTTCGTGTTGTTCGCCGGCGAGTGGCGTGCATAATGAAAAGCCTTTGTCCCGCTCTTGTTGCTGGTGTTCTGGCTACTGGCTGATGCTGCTTCTATACATAGCTCAGACGACCCCTCAGTCCTTCCCCAAGCCACGCATAACTCTCGGCGAAGGGCCCTCCTTTGTTTAAGCCACCTCAGTAGATGGGTTTGGAAGTGGAGTGGAGTAGAGTGGTATGGAGGGTACGGGGTAATGGAGTGCCCTGTGCCTGTGCCTGTGCCTTTGCCGGGCATCAGCTGGCCACAACTTGAGCTCCTGCTTGCCGCTTGGTTGCAGGCAACAGAGCAAAGAAATCGACAGGCGATTTATAAAAATTGTGAAAAAAGGAGTCTGGTCACAAACGAAATTTATTTAAGTTTTAAGCTGCTTACAACCCTCATACTCGTACGAGTACTGGTGCTCCTCCCACACACTCTTACACACACACAAATTGAATTTCAGCAGAGCTAACAGTAAATAAGAGCACATAGTTGCACTCGCATGTGGCAGGGGCAGAGCCAGCTTAAGTGCAGCCCAGTTTATCATAAGCCGCAGGCGAAGTTGCTGCAGGGGCAGGGGCAGGGGCAGGGGTACAGGACAGGCTGAGCTAGACAACTTTATCCTGCTGCCAAAGCAGAAAATAAATTTCCCTCCGATGCTGCTGCTGTTGCTGCTGCAGCTCCTCCGGGACGGACTCAGGACTCAGTTGCGGCAACAAAATAAGCATAAAGTATTAAGCGTTGAGTATAATGTTGCCGAAATATACATCAAGTGGCAGGTTGAGACGAGCTTGGAGAAGCCACCAACAGCTACTTAAGCAGGATTCTTGAATGCTGACGTCGCTGTCTGCCTCTGCCTCTGCCTCTGCCTGGCTGTCTCGGTTTTCAACTTATTGCCTGCCTGCCACACAGGCAAACGAGAAGCTGCAGTTGCACCAACTCGGTTAGTGTTTTTGTTTTTGTTGCTGCTTCGGTTATGGTTACGGGTGCTGTTGCTTTTGCAGGAGCAGCAGCGTAACAAATCGTCTCATCATTTACGGTTTACTGTTGATATATTGACAGCATTTGTCAGCAAAACGAACTGAAATCGCTTCCCAACCAGAAGTGAGAGCCGGTTGCATTAAAGCCAAAACTGAAGCTGAAGCTGGGGGCAGAAGTTGGCCAAAAACTTTCTGTGTAGGCCCAAAAGTTACGCACACACGTACCTCGGCCCGGGAAACACCTGTAGCAACAACGTGCCAACTTTTCCACACTGATAATGATGTCGGGCCAGGGGGCGGAGGACAAACTCGTATATTTTATTAACGTATTTGAACAAAGCTCTTAAACTGACATTTGTACCAGAGAAAAAACTAAGCTGGCTGTCACTGGCCTGGGGCTACACACCTGCTTTGGGGCCAGGAGCGTGCTATTGGGGCCGGAAACTACTGGACGAACAAATAAATTGTCAACTGTGTGCGTGACGTTAACTTTTTCTCAACGGATTTAATGTAATTGAAAGCTACATTTTGCTGCTGCATTTGTCCTGTCCTACCGGTGCCTGTAGCCTGTTTTCCGTTTGCCGTTTTCCTGGCTAACTCATTTACCTACTGCCAATCCTCTCTAGGCATCTCTGATGATGCTTGCATACGACACGTTTTCTACCGACGCTCTTTTCGAACTGGTTTCATCGAATTAATTCAGCTTTGCAGTTACACCAAAATTCCTGCAAAAAATACTAAACATTTTTCGTTTTTTGTTTCACCAGCATTCAGCAAGATCTTAAAAATGTCCCAAAACTGTATAAAAATGATATTCCTTGTTTTGTCCTAAGAATTGTCTAATGGACGAACCCGATTTTAATGTTTAATTTGAATTGCTTGTCGGTGGAAAAGATATAGTGCTTTTCCGCTGTGCTATAGCCATCCTTTGAGCCATCCCTCAATCCGTCCCCTCATCCGTCTATCCACAAGCTGCATTTGTGCTAATTTGCAGATTTTCAAATTGCAGAGGGCGCTTTTGTTTATTGAAAAGTTTTTTGCAAGCGTACACCGAAGAAAAGCGAGAAAAGCGGGGAGAAGAGCGAAGGGAAGAATACGATGCGAAAAAGAAAAATAATTATTCTGCAATTTTTAATTAAATGGCAATGGTAATTGTTGTTGCTGCCGCTCCTGGGTCCTGGGTCCAGGGTCCTGCATCAAGGAACTTAAGCTGACGGAAACAAAAACTCATTATGCGCCACCAAATTCGTTAGGAGGAGAGTGGCAACAGGAGCAGGAGCAAGTGTTGATGATGACAAGTGCCCGAGAAGGATGATAGAGAAAAACCAGGGAAAACAGAGCAAAATGAGAGAAAAACAGAGTAACAGAGGGTTGATGAAAGGGCTGGATGAGCATGGGCCCGGAGCACACTCCGAGTGGAAATTTATTGAAATGTAAACATGGAAAAGCAAGCGGAAATGAGCGTAATTAAAAATATTAAAGTCCGCTCGGCTGCAAACGGCACGTGCCACGTGCGAGGGATATTTGAAGATAAAAAACTTACAGGTAAATCAACTGGCCGCAAGACCCTGTGGAGTTTATGGCCACCAACTGCTACCAGCCATCGCAAATAATACGAAATGAAGTAAAATAGTGAAGAAATTCCGTTGTCAACACAAAAGAATTTCAATCCGAATAGCGCGGCATTGCACAAAGTTTGCACGCAGAAAAAAATGTGGAATAAAAATGGGTCTGAACAAAAAGTCGAGCCAGAGCCAAGCACGGAAATGTACAAATAGAGAGTGTGTGTATTTGTACATATACTACATATACAAATGCACACATACATACATATAAGAAAAGCGTTCTTTTCCCTGGACACCAAGAGCTGGAGGAGGAGCTGCTGTCATCATCAGCATTATTGTCCTGGTTGGGTGTTTGTTGCTGCTCCAGCAAGTTTTTCCAACAGCAGTAAGCCAAGTCTTGACGTTGGACTGCAGGGACTGCAGCGAGGACTGCAGGAGAACTGCACCGCAGGCTGCGGGGACTACAAAGGACCAGGGGACTACAGGACTACCCATTCGGACACGCCAAGGACAAGAACGCACTGAGACAATCAATAAATCTAAAGTGCAACTACAGGCGAAGACGCCTTTTTGACCCTCGTTTTGTTCCCTTTTGACAGTGTTGTCAATACTTGAAGGGGTCGGTCCAATATACCGCCCCAGACTGCTCCTCTGGTGTCTCTCGTTTGTCGCTGCCTTCTGAAGCAGCAGCCATTTTGTACAGTTTGCATAGCCAATTTGCATGGCAGTAGCGGTAGTATTTCTTTGCCCTCAACTCCGTCTTTAACATCCGCTTGGTTCTCTTGCACTTCACTTGACTGCATTCCGCATTGGCATTTCCCATTTCCCATAGCTTTTCCTTATTTTCTATTAGTCATCGCCCGCTGACTTTATTTGCCTTTGCCTTTACCATTGCCGTTGCCTTTTCGCATTTCCACAAATTAACGCTTGCCCGCACATGCCATAAATGTAAATCAAGTGAATTCTTATTTTTCTTCTTCGAGGAGTATATAAGGGCTCCATCCAGCCATCCATTCATCTCCTCGCGCCATTTAGCCCGGGACAATGACAATGTCCACCAAGAGCCACTGACCGCGAATTTTGTAACAATTAAAAACGAAAGACAATGAGACATTCACGATTCCCCGGATATTCTTTTCGGCTCTGCACTCTACAAAATGGTATTTTTTTAGAAAAATACAAGCATTCGTTAGTTAATTAAATTACAAAATGTATTCTTTTCTATTCTATTATATATTTTGTATATTCTCTTTTTTGTTGAGTTTATTGTACCCTCCAAATGAAGTGAAAATAGATGCGATCCGATCCCCTTTGTGTTGTGGCTTTGTTGTAAAATAACGAAAGAATTA